TGGGTCTGAGGAGGGGCAACTGTGGAGACAAGTCACATGCACTTGCAACCTCAGGCAGAAATTGAATCCACTTCTTCATTTCAGAAGGGATGGAGGTTCAGCAAGAAAAGCATTTTCAGACTAATTGTTTTATCACTATCTTTGCTTTCTTGATGTCTTCCATGTTTCCAGTTTAGTGTGAAAGCATCAGACTGAAACAGTAAAAAGCAGTCTTGTGCATGTCTAAATACTTGTCTTGACTACTCATCAAATCCTCTTCTTATCTGACAAATTTGCCAAAGAAAACTTGCAGAAATTCCTGAATGAAGCAGTGGTTTTTTTTTTTTTTTTTTAGTGGGGTTCACTTTCAAAAGCGGAAAAATAAAAACCTTTGGTTATTTGGTCATAAACAGACATACCTCCTGCAGAGGAGTAAGTTCCACTTCAAGTGTCTTCAATCAAAATGCAACACTGAGGCACTGGAACTAAACATGAAAATAATAACCTGGAGCAGCTGTCTTAACTGCTTCATTCACAATCAGGGCAGCTAGTCCTCCTCCCCAACTAGTGCAATCTCAATTTTAAATTAAACATATTTTTATTTGAAACATTTAAAGGGAACTATAAACCTTTCATAAAACATGCTTGAGATAAAGCAAAGGAAAGGAACTGAGCATGTGTGCATGTAGAGTAGCTCAAGAAAGAACATTTCAGTACATCTTCCCGAGAAACACAGCCACAAAGCTAAGCCCGCCTTGGCACATACAGAATCTTTCAATTGGTCTTTGCTGTATTTGTCAGCCCTATTTCTTTGCAATCAAGCTGTTTTTGAGGCAATCTAGTGTGGAACGAAGTAGTGAAAGATGATTTACTTTTGCAAATAGCTGAAATGCTCTGTCTAGCTTCTCACTTTTCCAGTATGTCACGCTGTGCAAGTGGGACCTTGCAGGGCTTTTAGTTTCCCTAGGCTAGGAGTCCCACATGCCCTCCAGGTATTGGGGGACTCTTCTCTCTTAATGCCTGACCATTGGTCATGCTGATGGAGGTTATGGGACTTGTAGTTCAAAACATCTAGAAAGCACCAGGCTGCCTACTCCTGCCCTAAGCATTTCTGACTGTAGTACTGAACAGTTCAGCATTTCCCATGTCCCCTGGTGCTCCCACAAAGAACCTTATTTTCCTGGTTTGAAGCCAGAATAATAACAGAGTTCCCCAGTTTGGTGGAATTTATGTTCTGGCTTCATGCAAGCCAGTGTCCTTCATGCCAAAGCTGGAACATGACGTCAGGGGAGAGATGATCGTGCAGCCATGGCTTCATGATCCACAGTTATGCAGCCTTGGTCAATCTTCTGAACCATCCACACCGTGCAAAGGCAGAGCATGCAGAAGAGTATAATCTGTTTTGCAGAAAGTTGGTGATATTTTCCTTTGCTTAACACTGGAGCAGAGAAAAGGCTTGTGTTTGATTAGCTGCTGCTCAGAGACAGGGCCTCTCTCCTAGGGGAAGGGTGTGAACCCTGGGAGAAGCTGGTGGGCCAGGTGGAGAACCCTTGTGCTGTTTGTGCTGCCGTAGGCAGTAAGGAGGCTCCCCATATCTGCCTAAAGTAACAATGCATCTGCAAACACAGCTGCTCTGTACACTTTTGTGTGGCACTTCATCTAGATTTGGGACAGTATGTTATTTTGGACATCAGATCATGAAATCTTTCAAGAGCTTTAGCTGTATGAACCTGATTTTAAACCTTTGTGCCAGAACATCTGACTGTACAGATGGTGTGATATTTTGGTTTGTGCTGATGCAGCAGGCTAAGAACTTTACTTAAATCAAAGGTATTTAATTCAATGTGACAGTTTATGATGCATTTAACTTAAGTGAAATTCTAGAAATTCTTACTAGTCCTGACGTTACTGGGTTACTTTGGGCCAATTACTGACTCTCCTCCTGACCATCCTCACAGGTTGTTGTGAGGACAAAATGGAGTTATGTAAATCACCTGGGGTTCCTTGCAAGAGGAAAAAAGGTGAGATGTAAATGTAATGTGACAATTCCCAGTATATCCCAGACAGCCATGGGAACTGTAGGCCTTTTTTCTGTCGAAACATGCATATTTTTCTGGCAGATTCGCAGAGCCCTGTACATCACTTGATGATTGCTGAGATGAATTTATCATCTCACATCTTTCCAATTGTCCATGGAATCTATTCCAGTCATAAGCATACAAGTAAATATAGAATAACTGAGTAATGCACATGCCTGCTTTAATCAGGGCTGTATGTAACCTATGGGTGAAGGTGCAAGAAACCCAACTCGCACTCCCTTGACCTGTTTTACTGCTCTTGAATTAATTAAATACAGAGTAGCATTAGTACTTGCTTTTAATATATTTATAAATGCTTTATACCTTTTCAATATATCTTTGCTTGCAAATTGCTTAGATTTTAAAGATATGCTGTTATATAGATCTATTAAATAAATGACAAGATTCAAGGAGGTGACATATTTTGTAAATATAAAAAGCAACACCTCCCCCCCATAGTGACAGGACTGGTCACTAGTCCAAAAAACGTAGCTTTCTGGTCCTGGTGAACTACCTGCTTGCTATTTACTGTTTATTTACCTATCTTTATGAGAAGATAAACCACCACAGGCTAAGCAATAAGAAATATTGCCAGACATTAACACCTGCTCAAATCTGTCTATATTGTCTAATTCAATGAAGAGTCAGATATCCTCTCAGTGAATTAAGCACCACTATTACCCTTCTGTTCAAAAAACCAGGACATGAACATTGAATAAATACACTCATGAAATAAACACTTAGCCATTTGTAAAATCAACCCAAAGTATTTAAGGGATGGTCAGTCAAGACTTTTTCTGTGTGCAAATACTGATTGCTGCCATTTTTCATTTAGGTGCTATTTATGACATAAAAAGTGCCACAATCACATAACAAAATTATGCATAAATTTACAGATGTTTGAACTGTACTACACATTTGCTCAGTTTTCAGAAAGATCTGTCACCTGCCTCCATGATCTGGTTTTCTTTTCCATGACCCTGCTTCCTTGCCTCTGTCCAACTGTTTTCAATTTATTGTGAACTGTGCTTCCACGCAATTTCAAATTTCACATTATTGCAACAACCTCTTTCATCAAAGATGAAATACCTTCCTTAACTTTTCACTGTAATATACAGGATGCCCACTTTGAGTTCTGCTGAAATGAGTGAAAATTCTTTATGAGTGTTTTTATACTTGATATCTAATAAGGAACAACAATAAATAAAAATGAAGTTTTGTATTCTACAGATCTTCTGGTTAATTATTACAAATACAATGCAACTAAATAAAAATTTTATGAATCCATTAGAGAGCTGACAAAATGAGTAAATGTAAGGCACTATTAGGAAAAGCACATTTTCTTTTGTAATTTTGAATGAAAAATAGTGAAATTAATTTCTATTAAATCCACAAGCTTTATTAAGTTAGCTGGAAGATTTAGAGAAGAAAATTAATTTCCTCTAATAATCATAACAAATTAAAGTCATACAACAATCCCCAAATGTTTCTCTGTCTTCCAAGCGGCACAACAAATAATATTCCTTTTTCTTGGTCACCTCTCAGATTTCAAATTTCTGTTCAGATATACCCATGAAACCTTAGGAAGTTTTCAGTTTCCTTTTCAGTGGAGCTCTCTAACAAAGGGCCTCTAAACGTGCTTCACATTTTAGCTTTTGCACTGCTCCCATTCATTCCAAGTGTAGCCCAATCGATGCAAGTCCAGCCTTGAAAACACATGCATAAATTTGTGTGCCTGCTTTCATTTCACCCCAAAGATAGGGAACTCTCTGTTTGCAAAATCTGGGTGTATAGAAATGTCTCCTTCACTGTCTTTGTTGGCAACAGACCTCTCTTGTGCTGACTGAAGTTCTCTCAGCAACAGGTGATTTCCTGAAACAGAACAAACTGCCTGATACAAGGTGTATCATCAACACCGACTGGTGCTGGGTCTCCAGGATTTCGGGCAGGAAATTTTCAGGCCTATAAATGGTGTGGATTGAGCGCGGGACCTTCTGCCTGGCAAGTGGCTCCTCTGCCACAGAGCCATGGCCCATCCCCATGGACACTAGCACAAGGACACATTAGACATTATTTTTATTACTTATCTGAATGAAAGCTTAACACTTTCTTGTTAGGGTTGTTTTCAGTCTTCCTTCAGGCTGCCCAAGAGGAAAGAAGTTCAATCCAGTCACAAGATCCAAAATTAGCATTTTATTCAGAACATTGGGGTCAGGGGTGTATCATTTATATTCTGGTACATAATACAGAGGCAAAGCTGTTGTCAGATGTCTCTCTGGTTTAAAAGCTCTTTTTAACATACTGTGTAACTACTTGAGCCATCAATATCAGGCTAACCCTTGAGTTTTTTCCTCTCTCTGTCTTCATTTCGTTTGTTTTTGGTACAAATTATGTAAAACAGTTGTGCTAGGAACTTACTTTTCTCCCTCCCCAAACAAATAAAAAAAAAATAAAAATAAAAAAACTCAAACCTTGAGTACTCTAACTACAGCTCAACAATTGAATCAATGTCACTTGTTTGCAATCTGTTTGTAAATACTTTATCCATAACGAAAGATATAAACATGCAAAAACCTGAATCCATAGTCCAAATAATACATACACATGTTTGGAAGTCTCTGCACTTCTCCATAGACTATGCCAATAAAACATTATGTACACATACCATTTTTTACAGTGAAGTGGGAAAAAAAGTACTGAAAAATGCTTAAAAAAAGGTGTATATGGATTAAGACCAAAATGTGTCTAACATTCTATAATAAGAAAAGAAAATCAGTTCTGCTACAAACTGGTGATATGAAAACTCCCTTTATTTGCAACCAGCTGCATAAGTTTTAGAATTTTAGTGAAAAACCCTAGCATCTAAAACTAGAAGTATTGTACACTTTTTCTTCTTTTCATGGCCTTTTTCCCACCCTCCCTTCCCCAGATAACAAAATTTCCCCATGAGATTTTTTTCTTTTCTTTTCAATTTCCTTAATAAAAGCAATGCAATGTAACAAAAGCATGTTGAAGCATATTGGTGATTGATCTTTCTCCCCACCCCAATGTGGTTTGTCTCATCTTTTCATAAATCAGTACCATTTAAAGCCTTAAACATAAAACTAATTCCAATCTGAAAAAGGTACAAAAAGGCACATAAAATCCCAGTGCTTCTGTACTGTAAAATTCAAGTGTAACTGAGCTCAGTTGTTTTCCTTTTTTCCAAACAGCATTGGATGACTGATATTCCCAGTGAACCCAAATAGGTTTGCAGCCTATGCCAAAGCCTTCAGCAAGCACTTGTGCTAGTAGACTACAAAGTTAAAGCCTAGCTTCTGTACGCTTGTTGGGAATACCAGTGGAAAGTTTTGTATTTGTCCAAATGCACTGTTGGCCACCTTGGCATTCAGTCATCACCACCCCCGTACATATCAGCAAGTTTCTTGAAGCGTGGGCCCCAGTCATTTAGGTAGTCATAGTCTTGCTCGCCACCACTACTTGAAGAGTTGAGAGAGCTCAAAGATCCAGCAGTGGAACCACTCCCCTCGTAGTCAAATACTAGCAGGGAGTCATAAGGAGGGGCTGTAGGGTCATTATCTGCCGCTTTAAGTCCCTGTTACAAAAGAGAGAAGGGGGGGAAAAAATGAAAAGGGTAAAAGTAGCTACATGCCAGCTTATCTATTGGAACTTCACTTGGAAAAACATAGAAAAGAACCCTGGAGTGCTGTTTGCCTAAACTAGATTTCCCCTTGATATAGCAGAGAAGCAAGCAAAATGGCACAAAATCTGCAAGTAGCAGGAATAATCCTTGCCAAATAGACACAGTTATTTGCTTTCAATAATGTAAACACTGTCACTAATACGCTGGCCTAGTCTGTAACAGAAGCACAAACACACACCTCTCATGTGAAGGTGATACAAAGAGCCTGGTCCTAGATATCCAAATCCTATAACCTACTTTAAGTTTGGCTTACAAAGCTCTCACAATGTGGAATATTCTACTAAACAGAAACCAACCAGCACACCCCAGTGTTCAAGGAAATGAATCAATGACATGCACAGCAGTCAAATGTTGATGGGCTGATGCTAGTGAATGAATTCTGAACCAGCAAAAGATGTGTGATGCTCTCATGGTGAAGCAGCAGCAAGTTAGGAGCAACCAAGGTATAGGAAGAACTGAATTCTTTGCTTTCCTTTCCCTCCCATAATCATTTGTATTTATGCAAAACACCAGCAGAGATGGAAGGCAATTTCCATCTGTCAGGTAGGATCAGGCATGCAATTTGCATGAGTTGTGACTCAAGGGCCATAGTAAATAAATTCTGAAAAAGTACTACATTTGTGTAATGGAATATGAATTGCATCAATGCAAATCATTGCCTCATTGAATATTCATTCAAATTGTTTAACACAGAACTAATTATTAACAGCTGGCACTTTGTTGTTGTTGTTGTAAAATTAAAGGGTAGTTCTGGTGTATTTTTTTCCTAATGGCTAAAATAGGTTGAACAAGTTGCAACTCTATTTGGCACATTGGGATTTGGGAGACTTTGTCAGGCCAATACCTCTTACACATTGGCTTGTGAAACAAGTATTTTATATGGAGGTTGACAAGTTTCTTCCACCTCCCAACATTTAGCACCTGCAAAGAATTCTAGTGACCATTATAGCAACTTTATAAATATGTGCTGGCCTGAATTGCAAGCTGTAATATTAATCCTGCTTCCTTGACTCTCAGTAAGGCTAGTTTGTGCCCCAGGATCTGGAATGGTATTTTAAGGCTTCAGTAAACAAATATATATTTTCTAAGGCTGCGGAAGTGTTTGTGTCAACCATCTACATCAAGCATGAACTGAGCAATCGTCTTTTCAAGCTGGGAGTTAGATTTTCTTAGTTCAGCATCCACTGCTGGCAGCAGATGATATAAAACTGCTGGTGCTACTGACTTTACAGGATAAAACTGCAATGAAAAATTCAGTGTTCCAGAGGCTGCACTTTATGTGCAAACTGTTTGCTAGAAAAGAGGCCTTGAAAGGCAGCTTTACAGAGGCACGATGCCATGGCTAAAGTTGCCTGAAAAAACGGCATTTACAACAAAGCTAGGTACTTGTGTATTTCATATTCTATACAGTTTAATTTGCTACCCAAATTTCATAGTGGAACACTGAGAAACTTAATTTTTCATAGCATATGACTGGTAAAATATGAAACAAATGAATTATCTGCAAGAAACGCTCTTCTACTTTTCTGTAATCAACATAACCTTCAACATGCAGTATAAAGGTGTTACATTTTATGCTTGAATGCAAAGCTACAGTCTGGAAAGGAGTAACAGTTTACAGTAAAATCCTATACATGTTTACTCAAAAATAAGTTCCATCACATTCACAGGGTTCCTAACTCTAATGCCTTAATTGACTTGATTTAACCTGACTAATCAGGTCTTGACCTTTGCACTGCAGATAGAAAGGTGCCTTATATTGGTCTGATTATTTGTACAACTAGCTGAGGATTGTCTATTCCATCCTTCACCAACTTGGTGTCCTCCAGAGATTTGGGAAGACAGCTCCCAGTCTTACTATTGGGCCTAGTCTAAACATCTGGAGGACAACAGTTTGTGGATGGCTGGTCTACTCTGAATGGCAGTGGCTCTCCAGGATGGGAGACAGAGAAAGGTTTTTCAAAAGGACGCAAGAAAAACCATGCTGGGTCAGACCAATAGTCCATATAATTCAAGCACTCTGTATCCATGGTGGCAAACCAATTGCCCACAGGATCCCTCGAGGAGGATCGGTGCCAGACCTCTGCCAGCCCATCACCTACTACCCAATATTTTTTTAACTGGAGATGCTGGGGTGGGACCTGGGACCTTCTGTGCTACTGTCCCAGTCTATGTTGTAACAACTCAGACACCACATTTCAGCTGGCTACAATGTTAACTCAGGGTTGCTGTTTAAAAGCTCTGATGAGAGAAAAGGCAGGCCATGGAGTGTCAGGAGAGAATGGAGAACAGGTGAGGCACAGATGAAGGACTGTCATTTCAGTATCTTCAGAATCTCTGTGATGGGCCCTGCCTGGCTCAGCCCCACACAGAAGGCATCCAGGTCCCTATGACACAGCTGGTCATTTTATTTGGTGAAGGGTTTTCCAACCTATCTTCTTTCTAGAGTATGTGACATAAATAAAAATTCAGATGCAACCACAATTTAATTAACTGAGAAGAGCACAGCATATGTATGACCTCTCTATGGCTTTATGTTTTAATTTCTATTCATATTTCTTTTCAATATTATCATAATTTCCAAGGAGATATACATAAATGTGTGAAGAAAATAAAAATGAACTTTTGTTATGAATTAGAATTAATGCATGAATTAAAGCTAAAATATCAATTTGTTAGAGTATTTATTATATTAAAGCCAGTGAATAATCCTCTAGGAGATATTGTGGTTAAGACTGATAACATATATGGATGTAATTAATACCAATGCACAAAAGTTAACTGATGCATTTCATTTTTTCTGTTTGAATGTTTTAATTAAATTTTTCTGTGCTTAAAAAAGTCATATTTATATCTATCATTCCAGATAATTTTAATTGTATAAGCAACTAAATATAACTAAAAGCTAGTCATTATCGTCATTGATAGCAGCTAATAGTTGCTAAATCTCTTTCTTTTTCCTTCCCTTCCTCTTCCCATTTTACCTCATTAATAAAGTCCCCAATGTCCCCAGGATGAGGAGCAGCTGATCTGACCGGATACTGAGGTTCTGCATGGATGGGTCTTTCATCAAGTCGTCTTATTCCACCAGGTTTGATTGTATCTGGTTCTATAGTGTCAGGCTGCTGCAGCTGACTTAAGTCATAGTCCTGTAAGCAACACAATCAAAATGTTCACGAATTTTAACAATGAACAGGGAAAAGCTCCCTTTCCTATAAAAGAAGACATATATTGAGAACCACAAAACTGACTCAGAACATTTCCTGAATGATCTTGCATCTCATTTAGAGTAAAAGAGAGTGTTTATTGCTTCCATGGAGTCCCTGTCTCCATTTACAACATCATTCCAGTTGGCTGCTCTGAGGTACACCTCATCCATTTCCCACTGTGAAACCGATTCAGAAGTAGCATTCATTTGTGACTAAACAATTTGCCTACTGAAGCACTGATTTACACTATGCAAAAAGTTGCCAGTATTGCTTTCAAATGCTTCCAAATTCAAATGAAAACCCAGACAGTGTCATTCTGATAGATAAACAAGTACGAAACAACAGACTTGGCCAGTAAGATTATGAAACAACAAACTCCTGTGCTTGCAAGGGTGAAAGACTGAAAACAACCTGAATCACTGTAGCAATAATAATAATAATAATAATAATAATAATAATAATAATAATAATAATAATATAAAATAATAAGTCCTGACTCCAGAATATTTTAGTAAGTCCTACCACATGGACAGTCATGTGGTGTGCCTGAGTTGTGTGACTTTGCACTCAGCTCAGGATGGGATTCATACAGTGATTTACCCAGACAAATGTTCTGTAGTGAATATATGATATTAATACAGTGTGATTAAATGCCAGCAATACCATTATAAACTAGGTCTAACACAGTTTTGTAAACATCACAGGCTTGTTCTTCTGATTATACTTCACTCTGTTCCTTGGACCATGTACCTGTAAAGCAGTAATCACAATGCTGCTTACCTACCTACTGAGCTGATAGCTGAACAACAGATGTCAAGCTCTCCTGGCCTATACAACTTCATGGCTGAGCTGGAGAATGATATTCTGGGAATATTTTCTGGCAGAATATCAAAACATATCTCTGTTTCACATGTCAGGTGAGAGACAAGTTGTTCCATATACACTAAAGGCAATGAACAATGTGTTATGCCCTTATTATATGGAAGCATCTCATCTTGGGGGATTCCAAGTAATCAGCACCCTATTGGGTTGCAGATTCTCATCATTCCATCTTCCTACATTTTGCTCTAGATGGACCTCTTAGACCATCTAGACTAGTAGTGCAGTGGGGTTAGCAAGAAACAGCATGCCTTGTCCTCTGATCTCCCCTCATGGGACATGCTTTTCAGACCCTTCTGAGGTTCTCCAAGGCATTTTTCCATGACGTCTGTGAGGGAGCAGAGGAAGCAATCAGATTCTGGAGTCCTCCTTTTGAAGTTGTACATAGCAGTAGCTACAGACTTGGAGAGGTGATAAAGAATTCTGTGCCACTGGACCTCTAGGACTGTTCTGTCTGTTGTTTTCTTTCTCATATGTGACATTTTGCATGCAATTTGAAATGACACAGTTCATGCATAGTTTCACCAGGCCATGATGGATTGGTCCAGGTTAGCTGTACAACTAGGAGGGAGAAAGAAGAAAGAAAGAGAGCAGTTGCAGCTGCTGCCCATTGGTCTGATAAGGCAGAATACAGGGCAGCTGGCTGAAAGCAGAGCCACACTTACAATAGGTGGCCTAATGCTTGGTCTAGCAAGGAGTCCCAAGAAAAGGGTAAAAAGGAACTAACTTCAAAACCATAGCTGCAAAGAAAAGCTTCCAGGGTGCTTGTTTCATCCTTAACACACACACACAAACACACACACCACTCCTTTGAACCTGTTTTCTTGTTTAACTTCCAGTAGCTACACATGGAACAGAAAAAACAAGCTTAGGCAAATAATTTCAAGAGCACGAGTGCAAAGCAGGCTCTTGCAACCAGGTGAAAGCACTCCCTTAAATGCATAGTCAAATAGGTAGGAATAATGGGGCACAGAGTTATGTTCTTGCAACTGGTCTCTTCCCTTCAGCATCCGCAGCCTATGGCAGTCACTCCACTCTGCCTAAATCTGGATCCAGGCCTGCCACAACCTTCAAAGACAAGTGCCCAACTAGATGGACTCTTACATGATCCAACAAGGCTTTCCATGTGATGTTCAAAACTCATTTCAATTAAAAATGTATTCCTTTATTAGATTTATATCCCATCTTTTTCCTTATCTTACATCATTCTTGTCCTCCTGCTCTGAATCTTATCCCCCAACAACAACTATGTGAGATAGGCTGGGCTGAAAGTCTGTAATTGTCCCAAAGTCACCCAGCTGGTTCCATGGCTGAGTGGGAACTTGAGTCCCAGTCTTCCATTCTTAACCACTGTACCACACTGGCTCTCATATTGTGTTATTTGCTTACATATTTATTTAACACTCAGACTTAGTTACCCTTAGAGTACACTCATTGAAGCCGATGGGGATTCAGTCATGAGAAACTTAAGACCCACTTATTTAAATAGGTTTAACTCAAAATCTGGATCGTAGCCATATATCTTGAAATTGCAGCTGCTATGTATAAATCAAACTCAGCTGTGGAACAAAATTAAATACTCGGCAGTGTGTTCAGAATATGTTCAGAATCTATATGAGTCACAGCAGACTATAGTTCAAAAACCTACCTTTGCATGTTCTATATTAATAGTGGAATACTATGCATTTTAGACTAAAAAGAGGTCCTATAACTCATGCAGGCTAGAGAATACTTGCAGTTGTAGGTCTTTTTTTCTACATAGGATGCATAGGATTTTATCTGAAATGCACCTGATTAGCTGATCTCAAGCAACACTGCACATAAAAAAATGATAATGCAAATATATTTCTTTTTCCTTCAACTGAACCCTGGGAAGTAAAGCAGGATGTTTAGCACTCTGCTACATCCTTCTCAGCTGCAAAAGACAAGGGATAGAGTTAAATGTGGGGCATAAGGACTAGGATTGTGCCACCGCCTTCACTTCTCATAGGGCAGGTACCCCCTTTATCAGAACAGGCCATATAACAAATGGTACAGTGTAAATGCTATTAGAAAGGTTTCCCAATGTTAAGAGTGTATTAATTGTTGATTTCAATCAATATATGGTGATGTTTGTTTGCTGCAGCTGGAGTTACAGACATAGCAAAAGAGAAGAAATCTGTATATCATGTAAAAGAAATCTGAAATATGATTTCAAATGTACCAGGGGAGATACATTTGAAATATTTTATTTATTTATTTATTTAAAACATTTCTATGCTGCCCCATCACAATAAGCCTCGGGGCGGCTCACAACATCAAAAAAGTCAACCATACATTAAAACCCCCAATACAATAAACCTCCCAGTACCATAAAACCTCAATAAAACCTCAGTGCATTCTTGACTAAAAAAAAAAACCCCTAGTTAAATAAATAAATTAACAAATAAAATAAGTTTTAAATAAAAAGGTCTTAGCCTGGCGCCGAAAAGCAAATAACGATGGCACCAGGTGGACCTCCCTGGGGAGCGCATTCCATAAATGGAATAAATAATAACCATATAGGAAATGCACTATTCATGAAGTGGCCTAGAAATTGGGATATGAACCTATGTCACTTTGCTCCAGAGTGTTATCCAGTGGACCATATTAGCACAAAAAGAATCCTTATCAAAATAGGTTAATATGTGTCTAATTGACTGCCATAAGTTTACGGTGGAATATCCCAAGGACATCACTAGTTTTGATGATCCGTATATACAGAGTTTAGCAGGTACTGTTGAAACGATTAAAGATTCGAATTTGAGATGTTAATTGTGTCCTATCTCTCACTAACTTCAACATGAGCCTGGATATAAACAGGATGCTCAGATAAATTAAGAAAGGTCTGTTTATTCACATTTAATATGGTCTTGTACTGACCTTAATACAATATTAAGCTTAAAAATAATATGAAAACAATCAGATGCCCTGACTATGTCATCTTGATGTGAGATGGTTTTGAAAATCCGGTAAGAGTCTCACATTGGATTAGGACAGGCACAACCCAGGCTCAGACCCCATATAAGCTTTGAGGCTTAATGGGTTAACTTGGGTTTGTTCACATAATCACAACAGCCCACTGTGTCATATTCAAACCACAATGGCTTTTAGAGAATTTTGATAGCCACTGTAAATATCCATGTCTTCTTCTAAAGATCAAATCTATGCTTAACAAGTCATGGCCCATTAGCTATCGCTTTACTTGTTCCTTCATGTCGGCTGGAGAAACCACACTTGACCACAGCTTCACATTCCATCCAAACCGCAAAACAAATGCTTTCCAAACAAGGCAGGATCCAACTTTAAACCATGGCTTGTTTGGAAGCCCTTAATCACAGATTCAGAATAATTAATGTGTCTGAAAACATTTTAAATAATGAGCAGTAAGATCCTTTGGTGTAACTGGGGATCCCAAATACCGTAAGAGCAAAAGATAAACACAGTTTCGCTTCCCTGTGAGGATATGAAAAAAAAACCCAAAACAAAACATAAAGAACCAGCTGAAATTTTGTAACAGTTCTATAAATTTACCTCTTCTGTTTTTTTTTAGGTAAGAAATCTGAAAAAAAAACCCCGCAAGCATTTGTGTGTTGTTTCATATTATATAGTATTTCATATTTCACTGTAGGTGTCATTTTCTTCATTATTTGCAATTCTATGGGAAGATAATTTACAGAAATGGATGGCTCCCATTCAAATATATTATGAATTCACATAGATCATGAAGAGTTTAAAAAAAACAAAGAAAGTAAAGCTGACATCTTATGCACACTTACTTAAAGGACAAATTCAGTGAGACTTACTTCTGAGCAAAAATGCATAGGATCTGATTATAAAACATTTTTAGGGAATCATGACACAGCTCAGAATATCAGATAATTTCAATGAATCTTAAAGGAATGATCTGCTTTAAAGCAGGGGAAAATGGAGTTTGGGACTAAGTTCAGCTATAAAAACACAGCACATCTGGAGGTCTGAAGAAACAGCTTATTCTGCCAGGAGAGATATAGGGATTGTCTGATTTCTAAGTGTGTATGATTTTATTTCTCTTTAATGCTGTAATATGTAGTGTCTTCCAACCTTCCTGCTTGCTCAGTTCTGAGAAAGTAGGTGTGAAGATTCATGTAGAAAAAAGTGTTTTCTCTGTCATTCAAATTATACAAGGAGAGCTTTAAACCATGTTAAATAGAAATAATTCTCTTTAGCGCACTGTAACAAGTTACAACCAAGATAAAAGAAAAAGGCATCTTTCCATTTTGTTGTTGTTGCCGGAATGTTTGGAGAACCAAAAGAAGAAATTACAATTCTAAAAATCTCTTTAAGTAGTTTATTTAAATCTATGGACATTATTCAATGAGGAATTTACTCTTCCACTGATTCTGTTGTTACCTGCCAACTGGGGCAACTGGAAACAAGAACAAATGTCAGAGATGCTCACATACTGCTGTCCCAATTTGTTCATGCTGAGTCTTCCTCTTGGAAGCAGTAAACCAGTGTTATGCAAGCAAGCTCCAAACTACATGGTTTGAGAATCAGTGCTCCACATTTCACTTTCAACCAACATAACAGCATTTTATTAATTTACAATCAAGCATTTTCTATGGTGAAACTTTGTATCCTTGTAAAATCTTACTATTATTTGCAGGTCATTCTGCTACTGCGTCCTCTCAAATGCTTTAATTAAAGTGTGTTTTACTTAAAAAAAAAACTCAACAATTTCTTATACTTTTAATCTCAAGGGGAAATCTGATCTATATATATTAAAGGATCTGATTGGCTTTGAAAAGCTATAGATTGTCAATGCTATGTTTCTCACTCTGTGAAATATTCCAGGGTATAGGGCTCATTCATCTACCCTACAAAGCTAAACAGAACACTTGCTTTGAATCCAGAACCTGCAACATAACTGATAAAGTCATAGGGCAAACAGCATGCATTAGGGATCTATTAAGTGTTAGCAGTTTTTTGTACAGTTGTGTTATTCATTGCAGAGACTCAATAGACGAGAAAGCCACGGAAGAAAAAGCTTCTTTCCTGCACTGCTGTGACTCATTTTTGGATTTTTCATTCGACACATGCATTATGCTAAGTGCTGGTGAAAGCCTCAATTTGAAGGCAAAATGCATTTATTCCTCCCAGTGACCGTCTTCCCATGTGGCTTTCATGGCACTGTACCATTCTCGAAAACAAGCACCTTTGCTTGTGATTATGCTAGTGAAGAATATGAGGTGGAATGAACTTATTATCTCCATTTAGTACTCCCAAGTGTTCTGCAGCCAACTTTAATTGTTATTTAATGATTATGCCTGCCTCCTGCTTCCAACAGGATCAAAGAGTGTTTGCAAGGAGGTTAGGAAAAACTAGTGCAAGAAATCAATAGCACTGTCCTTTTCTTTATGGAGGAAAAAAATATCCTCTTTTCTCTTTTGATGCTCTGAGCTGCATCTTGCAAGCATATGTACTCATGGCAAAATAGAAGATGTGATTTTCACTTGTGCCTATATAGAGGTTTTTCAATAAATTTTAGAATTTCTTTACATTACTTTTACCCTACTGTTTAGCACCCTTCCCCCAAAAAACCCTTCCTTCTTATAAAAGCCAATTAGCTAAATGGAAAAATATATAAAGTAGTCCTGAATTTTTTAACATTATTAAAAGTGCATAAAAACACGCAAGTTTCATCTTTCTGGATTTTATCCACAATTGTCAGCTGTTTTATCAGTATACATTCTGTATTTCTCACCTGGTCTTCTTCTCCACCACCTTCTTCATCATACTTCAGGATATTGTCTCTTACATCATCTTCAGGATCAATGAGCAACTGTTTGGCCTGACGTTCCTTATCACGACGTTTCATCCAAACCACAAACATGAGTACTAGAACTATATGATAGAATGAAGAACAAAGGTAGAGCGTTTTAGCTTGGATTACTATTTGTTGTAAAAGATGCATGACATCACAACACTAAATATTAATTCTGGTTTGGTCATTATTTCCCCCTTTTAGCTTCTTGGAGACACAAGAACAGAAAAAGGAAAACTGCTACATATAGACAAAAATCATAATGTCCTAATGGCTAGATGAATATCTGATGCACAGATGATGGGTTATGTCTGCTGCTTTAATTAGGTCTAGTTTTTACTTAAAATGTTTAGATGCTATGTTAAACCATTTTAAATTTATGTATAATGGATTTTAGCTGGATTTTAATTTGCATAATAGAATTTTATGCTGTGTTTTATTGTATTTGTATTTTATTGTATCCTATCTGATTAATTGTTGTGAACTGCCCACAGAGTTGGGCGGTGTAGAAATGAAATGAATGAATGAATACAATAAACAGTTCTCAAGAAACACTGCTTAGGATTTGGCACTTACCAAAGATTCAGTGTATGACTTTCAGGTTCATGGCTTTCTCACCTACAATAACACAGTTCTGGAACTGAAAAGGGGCCTCTTGGCTAAATCCTTTTATGGATTTAAATGTTTAGTTGAACTCTTCCTATTTCACCAAGTTTTTTTAAAAAACCACCAGTTGGAGTAGGAAAGCTATGAGGCAGCTGTGATAGGATTTTAATGTAAAGAATGTACTTATTAGTTTATTACTTTAACTTTATTTTCCTTGTTGATCATTGTTGTGATGGAGAACATTAGATAATAACTTAGGTACCCTTGCCATACTTGCTGCGAACTGCCAAACACTGAAGCTAGCTGTCCATGAGAAGGAAAATGGTGAAGAGGAAAGTCCATGTCAGCATATGCTCTTAAGAAGTGAGTCACAAGCTTTAATGTGCCAGTGGTGACCACAGCATGCTGCATGGTGCCCAAACAGCTTACAGCTGGTGGCTGACCCATACAGAGAGCTAGAGGCCATCCCTGGGTATGCACATCTGTTGCATAGGCATTTTAGGGAAACACTCAAATCCCTGTTAAAATGGGTGATGACTTACTGAGTAATATGATGATGCAGAGAAGAATTGCAATGATGGCACCTGTGCCCAGTCCTGCACCTACAATCCTGTCTGCATCTGTACAGTCTCCATTTAAATCACACTGGCAAACCTTCACTTTTAGAATAGAAGTGCTGGATTTAGGAGGATTTCCAGAATCTGTTATTATTATTGGAACATCATAGATTCCGGCTTCAAGGAACTTGAGCTTTAAAGCTAGTTGGGCACGGTCGCCTGGAAGAGAAAACAATTTTGATAAATAAGCTGGAAAATAGTCTGTTCTAGGAGTGCTATCAGAACAGTATCAAAGTTATATGCAGGTGCTCTTTTGTCACAACAAAGGAAATGTTCCCAGGCTTCCCACTGAGCAATGTAAAAAACTTGAAGAATGTTGATTCCAACCCCTTGAGTCAGACCCTCTGATGTTACAATCCCTCACTGTACAAATAACTAAAAAACCAAGGAAGGTGTAAATTGCAGGGAGGAGAAACCTTGATCAAGTACTGTATTTAATTCAGTTCAACACTGTGCAGTCACATTCACGAAAACATATATACCCTAGATGGAAACTACCTGTTCTAAAAATATATGCATATTACCACTAATACGAATAATGGTCCAGTTTCTCTTAATGCTGGGAGGAGTATTTGGCAGTTCAAAGGCAAAGGGTCCAGCATTTGGGTCAATGTCATCATCTATTGCTGTTATGTTTGTTGCATTGGGCTGTAGAGTTTCACAGGTTGTAGCTTCTTGAGGATCCACACGGGGAGCATTATCATTGATGTCAAGCAGATATATCTGAAGTGTGCCAGTCCCACTCATTGGAGGGATTCCTTAAAGGACAAGAAGAAGTAACGTAAGCCCGCTTCCTATTAAAAAGAGACTGCAGTAATTAAAGCACACACAAACACACACTAATTAAAAGTGAGTGTAGCTCCAGTTAATATGAACTAAGGCCAAATATTTAGTTTTGACTGCACAGGCAGATCAAAGTAATTTGCTATGCTAAATTAGGGCTGAACTGAAAGCTGGTTAGAATTTGGGTGGGCAATGGGTTTAGGTTGGGGAATGGGTGGGTGGAGGAAACCTTGCCAAATATTTCACCCACTGCAAAAATGAGTGCCTCCATTTTGCACTGAAAATGTTCATCTGTCAACATTTGACGTTACCCTATTAAAAATATATCAATACAGAAATAGAACAAGTGGCAAAGTATGCTCATGAATAAATATTTATGAATAGAATTATGCATAGTAAAACTATCTTGACCTCTTTTAAGAACACATTATGCTTCACTCTAACTTTTTTTTTCAAATAAGAGACAAGGACTGGGTAAATTCCAGGCCATTCTGTTGCTTACTTGTCTATGAACCTAAAACAATTTCCCCCCAGACCTTTGCAAATCTGGTTGCTCGATTTAACATAGTGTTTAGTCTTTAAAATGTTTTCATCCTGGTCACAAGTACATGAATACCACTTAACTGTCAGACCTTAAGCTGAAACCAATGAAAGCAAATGGGTAAGCCACCAACTGCTCATGCAGACAAGAGGGAAAAAGGCCATTCACATTGCTACCAGATAGATAGGATGTTATTTGTAATGGTGACATCTTATGTAGCATGGGAAGTTCAGGAGATTTGGACCTTCAAGGGTTGCAAGAACATGTATCTCTGGGGAAAAACATGCATGCCAAAAAGGCAAATGACAAACCTTTGATATTAGATACGTACCATTGTCTGACGCAAGGAAAGTAGCATTATACATGTTATTTTTAACATGTGGTGACTCCCTGTCTAGAACACCAATTGTTGTTATCTGACCATTAATGGGATCAATCTTCAGCCAGTTTGCAGGATCTGAGAGTTTTGAATATCTGCACATAAAACAGTGCATTTATTTCCACTATGCGTTTATAAAAATAGCACACATTAGCACACATACACAGAAAGTAAAATACAATCTCAATATGTCTATAGTTCCAAAATTCTGTCCAAGATTCTGCTACAGGTAAATACTGCAGAATGCTCAAAAGCCTTGCCATGAAAGCATTACATAACTATTTTGCATAAATGATGTATCACTGCCTGAAAATTAGGGCTCATGGATTACTAGAATACATGCTTTTATGAGACCATTTCTATGTATCTGGTTGTATGCGACTGCACATCACATACACTGTGCTTTACATACAAACATAGAAACAAAGCAAGTCAGAAGGGGCCTCTTGGACAATCTAGTCTGACCCCTGGCTCTAGCTGGCTCTGCTCATGTAATCCCCAACATGCGGTTGTCCGATCTTTCCTTCAGCACCCTCACTGATGGGGCCTTAACCACTTCCTTAACCACCACTGATGGGGCCTTAACCACAAGCCCATTCCATATCCTAGGGGTCCAAACCATCAGGAAGTACTAGCAATACTACATATTTGAGGCTGAATAAGCTGAAAGACTAGGATCTAAAATTACACAGTTGTAATGCTGGGTCTAAGCAAATTAACAGTTAACTACCCTTCCCTACATGCTATCCAGATTCCAACTTCACTTCTCTTTGCCAGGGCTGCTTCCATCAATTGTCTAAAGCACAACACTAGCTTTTGGTTTTGTTCAGTTCTGGTTTATTTATTTTATTTATTAAAACATTTTTATGTCGCCCCATTCGCCGAAGCCTCAGGGCGGTTCACAACAATAAATTAAGACAATAACAATTAAAATATATACATTAGAATAAAATAAGCCGCCCTGGCCAAATAAAATTCAATAGTATTAACATTTAAAATGCTGCTGTTTAAGGTATTTCTCTAGTGCAAGGAAGTGTTGAGCTCAATTACTGTGAACCTGTAAGCCCTGATGAATCCAAAGGATCCCCCTTGTTATCTCCAGTGACTAGGAGAAGACACAGAGATTCCTCCTCCCTGCGTCTTCCACAAGTATTGAGGCCAGCAGTGAGGGACTGGTGAGTAACCTGTGGGCTAGAGATTGGCCTCCCCTGGCTTAAAGTGATATTTCTTACAATTATAACAAGTGAACACATACTGCCTACTTTTCTAATGCAAGTGTTTGAGGGTCCCTTACCCTTAACCTTCTGCAAGACTAGAAGTGTCCACAAAGGCAAGTCCACTGGAAGGGATAACTAGAAGGCACCATCCACTCCAGTGTCCTTGTACAACAGACCAAGCAGCTGTTAGGCATGGCGGAAGATAATGAGGACATTCATGTATCTAACCTAATATATCAACTCAGATATTAGGTATGTAAGCATAATTTAAACAGAAGGCAGACTAATTAGCAAGAAGCTGCAACTATTTGAAGGAGATCCATTTTGAGGTTTGCTATGCCTCTAAGGCCTAAGCTGATGCAGGGACCCCTTCAGTAAGCCAGTAAAGATGACACAATTCTGAGTACTCAAAGGATCAGGCTATACCATTCCTCATCTCGAATCTATGGAGGGGCCGGACAGTTGTTTCTAGCTACTTGAATTCTGCTTTAAGTTGCCCAAGAACCAAAGGAGGGAACCATTAGAGGTTCTCAAGCAGAAGTATAAGGCAGATATATGCCCTAACATACCTTAGAGTAGTCAGCTGCATGTAACGATCTGGGTCCTGAGCAGTGAAAGTTGTTAAGACATTACCAGCAGGCAGCCCTTCCTCCTGTCGCACAGGCTTTGTGGCTGGGACAAAAATTGGGCTCTCGTTCACATCAATAACTGTAATGGATACAGTTGCTGTTGATTGAGGCGGATGCTGAATTCCTTTTGCCAAAGGCACTTGGTTTTCTGCAGCTACTATCAGTACAAACAACCTATTGGTCTCAAAATCAATAGGCTGGCAAAAACAAAATGAGAAATCTGTTAATAGTTGCATTAGTCATGGGCTACAGAATTTTTCAACATTTCAAGCACACAGCACTGCTCATATATCAGAGATGCTGGGATAGACCCATTTATTTCTAATGTAAAAGGGAAAAATATTTACAGCTTCTTGAAGTAATTGCTATGTAATTATAACTGAAAGGAATAGCTGTGTGCAATGGGCACCAGTTTACCACTTGAATGTTAACAACCACTTCCACTGTACCTTCTTATGGGGATGCCACCCTCCCTGGCCAATTTGGTCACTCTTGTCTACATCCATTTACCTTGGCATCTAAAACCATTATGTTCCCTCTCCTCCATGTGTTTTGTCCTCAATATGGGTCCACACATGCTCAGCAACCTTCCAAATAAGAAGACCAACCCAACTGAGCTCACGGCACATTTTAAGATCATGACTAAAAACACTCTGTGGCCAAGACACAAATATCTTTGATTTAGGTAGAGTGCTGTTATTAAAACCTCAAGAGAATGTAGAGAAATAAAGAAGATGGACATGCTTCACATTAAGGTGATGCCCTTCATACCCTGATCACATCCAGACTGTACTTCTGCAACATGTTCTACATGGGTCTGCCTGGAACCATCAAGATGTATTGACCAGAGTCATCACGGGCATCTGATTTTCAAAACTTATCACACAGATTTCATTGGCACCAGCTTCCAATTCATCTTCTGGCTTAATCCAAAGTAACCATTATTAACTATAGAGAGTGGGACTGAAGATTTGCTTTCTTTTCTATGAATCTCCTTAAACATTGCATTCAAAATGTGAGTGTTCCGCTGTCTTTGGAGGGATAGTGGGTGGGTGTACAATAGGCATTTGTTGACAACTCCACAAAGAGGTTCAAGTTAGCCCCCTCCCTTGTGTCTTAGAAGGGTGTCTAACAGAGTTTTAGAGCTAGCGTCTTGGTTAAGAACACATGACTGAGACTCAGGCAACCTGAGTTTCAGTCCCCACTAAGCCATGGAGCCAACTGGGTGACTTGGGCCAGTCACAGACTCTCAGCCCAACCTACCTCACAGTGTTGCTGTGGGGATAAGATTCAGAGCAGGAGGAACAGAATGATGTAAGCCACTCTGAGTTTGTAAGAAAAAAGTGGGATATAAATCTAATAAATAAATGAATAAAACAATTTTTCTTGTTTCTAAAACTCTGTTTCAATTTTTAACTCCGATGTTGTGTTTAGAAATTGGTTTAGTTGTTTTGTGCTCCCCTCTTCCTGCTTGTTTAATTACCCACTGAAAGGCTGTGTGTGATTGTTTGGGTGTTTTTGTTGTTGCTACTGTTATTGCAATTCTGTCTGTTAATCTAGAGGCTGTTTTTTCAGGGCCAAAAGATACAGTAGAAGTTTCTGGGACAAAATAACATAAATAAGAAAAATACTAACCACTGGGGAATCACTGTTACAATTCATGCAAGACTAAAGATGCTTCAGAATGGGATATGAGGGATTGTTTCAACCTAGATTTGCAGGATGCACTGTTCCACAGTGATCTCTGCCTGCCCATATGCTTGGGAGATAGTGCTATTGGAGCAGTGAAAGTGGTGTTGTAAATATTACTTACTTGATCACCAATAGCAAGTTAAAAAATGGAACCAGGTAGGGTCTTTTCTGTAAGAAACTTTGTTCTTGCTTTCAGGCAGTATGTATGCCACCTAGGAGTAACGAAGTTTTATTTGGGAACATTGACTAGAAACTTGGGGGCCTAATATCAAGACACAAGTGCCACTCTATGGGAACTGGATGCTGCTTTCCTCCAAATACATTTCCTGGCCTCCAAGCTGAACACTGCAGCTTCTACCTTCAAGTATAGGATGATGTCTGAATGACCCCTTGCTTCTTGGGAACAGCCCTGACTATGGAAATCATCTCCAATTTTCCTTCTCCATTTTGTTTACTGTAGTTTGCACCAGGAAAGGGCAAATTTCTATAGCATTTCTTTTAGACTGTGACTAGATAGCAGTGCTTGAGCCGAAGAACTGCTGAAAATATGTTTCCACACTACACTGCTTATTCTGCTAAAATCAGAGACTATTGAAGGACTGCTTACCAAATACAATGCAACTCCTTCAGGAATCATTAAACTGGATTAGAGCTAATAAGGGCTTACTGCTTCTCTGGGGAGTTTACTGCAAATTTAATTTATTTATATAGTTTTACCTTTTTGCTTTATTCTGACAGTTTTAAAATAAAGAATTTAATTTGAAACAAACTGAGCAGCTTCAAGCAGATTATACTCTTGAGGCCTTAATTTGCTTCTCTTTATAGAGATTTGGTTTAATTTCAGCATCTCTGTTTTGTTTTCCATTTCAGAATATTCTAGTTTGCAACCATGAGTGGAACATTTGTGCATGCATACAAAGCACACAATCATGTGCTTCCTAGAGGCAGAACCTAATACAATTGCTACCTTTGGAAGTCTGCAGCCACAGAGTCTAGAAATATGTGGAATGCTAGTGTCTATCACAGAGGCATAGTTCACCTTCCACTGAAACAAAAGGCTTGTTTTGTATTATTATTTTGGTACCTTTGAACTTTATATACAGTGAAGGTATGGAATATTGTAAAGAGGTCCATAATATCTCACTTATTTCTAATTACTAAAAGGCTGGCATGAGCAACAGATTCCATGTTGTAATTTGTTTTAAGTGAAAGGCAATTCAAAGGATTATTTTGCTTTATTTTATTTGTTCTTTTATTGTAACCCACCTGGACAGGTTAGAAAAGCTTTAAATAAATAAATAAATTCAGGAAGATGACCTCTCAGGCTGTTATTCCCAGGACATGCAAGATTTGCATCAACCACAAAAACACCCAAACTAGTGCCTGAGGTGTATCTGTAAACATGCAAAAGCTGTAATCGAGGATTAGGATGTAGCCTTTTAATCACATGTTTCCAACTAAGGACCCATGAGACAATGGCAGACCTGTTAGTTTAAATCTGGGCATGCCTCAATCATATTTAACTTGGTAACCATAATTTTAGGAGCAAATGGCATATGCAAACAGGCTTCCTGTAGCTGGTTGCTTGAGCTCCTGCCAACATTCACTTTACAGAGGAAATGAACCCGCTCAGGAAATACTGTTGTCCAAACTTGGCACTCTTCTTGGGAGGTGGCTTTTAAACACCCTAATTAGTCTATTGCTTGTTGAATGGTAACAGGTCATGGTCAAGCTGTATGGGGTGGGGAAGTATATGACAGCAGTTAAAGGTGTCAACTTTCAGCTGCTGTGACCCTGTTCCCTTCAGAGATGCAGGACATCTCAAGGCTCCTGTTGTGTGACCTGGGATATTGCAGGAGGACTGAGGGAGGGGAGGAAGAGCAACAACCTCCTGTCATGCCTGATGGTCTGCAGGGGACAGGGAATTTTGCATACAGTATATGGGCAGAATTCCTAGTACGGCTGCTGTGCCATGTGAACCTGCCCCATAACTTTGGAAAGGGGTGTATTTAATCTTAAATAGGTCAGATTAGACTTCTTTTGCATAGGAGGTAAATACCTTTCTGACCAGGAGATATAAAACAAACAAAACAAGATTGTGGAATCTTCTTCCCAGTGGAGTCTGCCTGACACCAACACTGCCATCTTTACAGAACCATGTTAAAACATTCCCAGCCATTTAATAGCATATGCCAGGGCTTTTTAAAATATTAGTTTTTTGTTGGGTCACGTATTTCAAACTATTTTAACTTTCTGGTATTTAAGATTCTATTACATTTTATCATATTGTGAACTGCCCAGAGAGCTCAGGCTGTTGGTGGTATATAAATGTAATAAATGAATGAATATCTTTATTTGGACTTAGGCTAAATTAAGGAGTATAGAAGCTTTAAGATGTACAGAACTCTGTCTGAAAATGCTATTTAGCAACAGAACTCCAAAACGTTCTCTAAGTTTCCATTCAAACTAAAGTAAGACCATGTTTATTTAAGTGCTATATTAAGTGATACTTATATCACTTAAGTGATATAAATAATGATGACCATCACTTATAGGAATTTCTGTGATGAGGGTGGGGTACTGGAGCAGCTTAAAAAGTTTTGGACTCCAGAAAGAAGAAATGGATAACCTGATCCTTTAGACACATTCGTAAAAATGCAGAATCTAGAATGGCACTACAAGTAAATGTACAGAAGCCTTCAAAGGATGAATGTCACTCTTTCAAAAGAGGAAGGATATACATATTTTAATATCTATTCCTAATCTGCCTCTCAAATTTAACAGTATGTTAAATTTCACTGTCCTACTATTTATAAGGTTTTGCTTCATTTGGCACATTGTGTCACTTACCTTCACAACAGTTACCAATCCATCATTGCTGTTTGGATCAGTGAGAATGGTAAACCGGCCTGTGGGATCACCACTAGTCATTCGGTACATTGCATTCCAGGCAGGAGTGTGTGGCTGATCCTTATCAGTCACAGTCAGATTAGCAACTATAACATCCACTCTATTTTCAGGGACTTCACCATAGAACTGAAAGCATAAGGTACACAATATTATGCACTGGGCATAGCAGTACTGTACAATCATTAACATCATCAGAAAAGCTGAGGGTCCCTGAGTCCCAGCTTCATTCACTCTGATCCATGCAATTATCCATTTGTATGAATAAATGAATCTGCTTCTTCAGTACAGGGGAACAACTTGGTAGTCTGCTTCTACTGAACCACAGCTATCATCTCAAGCCAAAGAGAGGAAAAAATTGTGGGTTTGTTCTTCAGCTAAATGAGGTGATTTCAGCTAATGTTAGTGTTCTTCAACAGGCACATTTGGCCTTAGCTGAATCACTGAAATCCATGGGGTGATCCAATAAATTGCAAACGTATTACATTCATTTGGAAGCATCAGCAAAAATCTTTCTTAAGTAAGGGCTATTCAAATACTTGATCCCCTTTCTTTACTGTTGACTTACAATCATGGCAGTGAACTCTGGAGGATTGTCATTGACATCTGTCACTGTGATGACGGCAGTTGCTGTGTTTGAAAGACCATATGTTGGATTTCCTTCCATGTCTGTTGCTTGAATTATTAATGTATACTGTTGTACTTTCTAAAAACACAAAATAACACCAACAGGAGTTACAGGCAGAGCTACTGCTCCGAGAGGACAGCAGGTGTTCAATAAATTGTGCTTTGCCATGCAATGAGCTTATCATGCTGCTCATTCTTGTTAGCATCACTTGAACTGATGAGCACCTGATTTGCAACAATGGATTGCATCAAACTACACCAAACTGCAAGAATTTTTGTTTTGGGTGGCTCATAATTGGAGAAAATTGCATCCAGCAGCACCTTGAATAGCAAGCATTCATCACCTTCTTACTGTCACAGGAGCACAGTTAAAAAAATGAATTTGGACTACCCTTTAAAAACACAAATACAGAACAGCACTTCAAACTAAATCCGGGATGATATTTTTAAAAGATGGTTCATTAGAGCCAAGTATGACAGGGTACATTCTTGGCCAAACGATTCCAACTGCCAAGGCTTTGTTGTGGGGGAGCTGAAGAGCAACGACAGCAGCAACTTCTCAATATCACTATGGAAACTGGTGTAGGCAGGGCTAATGGAAACTTAGTTACTGGAAGAGAAGACTCACACCCAAATAATTTCCCTGAATGTTAAACATTAGGAATGAGATAGTCCTCCTTGGTCAATAGCACTGCCAGCTTCGGTTGCTTTTTGTTTTGTTAAAAAACACCCTCTGGAATGACGAATGTGTATTCTTAATGCACTGTTGGAATTAATCCAAGATCAGAAGCTCTCCCTCCTCCCCAAGAAAAGGAATTGCTGGAATTCTCTCAGTTAAGGGATCAGACTTTTCTTTAACCATTAAAAAGTTCATTTGTGTAAAGTATTTACTTTAGACACCTTAGTACTTTGTCTGGTTTTGCTGAAATTGTCTGCTGCGGATATAAGTAAATATTATTTTCCTCACCCTGTGTAATTTGAAATTTAGCACTTTTACTACTTCTTAGATTGGAGAAGTGATATTAATGCAGAAAACTCACATTATCTTCCAAGAAGGAAACTAGTAGAGATATTTTGTTATTCCTCTGAAATGTTCCTGCCTTAAGTGCTTTAACTGAAGAAGCTAAAGAGATTTTTGTGAAAATAAATATATTCTGAGACAATTCCTTTCCTTGAGAAACAGCTATTTGCCCTACTTCCCTCCTACTATTCAAACCCTAGTTCTTGTTAGAACAGTGTTCTGATTTTTTAAATTTGTCAATGTGACATAAGATAAATTGACCTTGTTCTCTACCTGAACAAAGGCATTTTTTGCATGAACAATTATTTTCACTTATAAATCTTAGGTTGATTATTCCTATTCTTTAAGGCATCTATTGTATGGATACACTGGAAAAGATTCAGAATAAAATAAATCTTGGTATGATGTGCGCAAAAGTTCAGAAACTGGTACAGGGAACCAGAAAAAGGGATAAATCGCTGGTACTTTTATGTTCCATTGGTTTTATTGGACTTAAAGCAGTAATTTATATGCATGACTGTGGGTCAAAGAGACTTAGCATTTATGTATTCTACAAGTAGCAGGAAGTTAGGGTTAAAAGGCATACTGCGAAAGTAAAAATACAGATTAAGGGTCAGAAGAGAGGTGACGTGAACTATTTTACTATAATAGATCTGGGTGGTGTTAATCATGATTGGGACAACAGTGTTCATGGAGCTTAAGCCTTGCTCCTCATATAACTATCTTGTCCAAAACTGCCCCTTACAGCTGCTGTTTGCCCAGGAAGGAAGTTTTCACTGGTGCCAATGAAAGTTTCCCACCTGGGACTAAAAGCTTCTGGTTGTTTGGGGGAGAAAGGGTTAAACTCTCCTCACCAAAAGCCACAGTCCTGATTTTGCTTGTCTTAGCTGCTACTGCTAAAATAAAAACAAACAAGCAAAAGTCAGAGCATATATTTAATACCATTTCTGCTTCAGCAGTAAAAGAACCATATAATGAACCTAGCCATGCTGCAAAAAGAATTAAAAAACTTGCTGGATCTCAGGTAATTTCTTTAGAGAACACCAAATATGGCAAGCCATCAGATTTTAAGCATGGGCAAAAGTAGATACTTTTATGATATTTTGTGAATCTACGTCCACATCACTCAACATCTAACGCATAGAAATGTTAGTTCTCAAACCTCAGAGAAAGCAGTGAGATGCTAACTCTGTTCTCAGTCATTCCATTAAAAGGCCAATTCTGAACCCAAACTCAATACCATGTAATTCTGATTTTATAGGTCAACTGCACTCTATACACATATTCCATCTCTGCTGCAAAACTGATTCCAAACTAGCCATACCGGGAGAGTTCCGGATTGAGCTAGTAGTGGCTTAATATTTCTTTTATAGCTCATGTGTGGCAAAAAAATGCAGAAGGCAGAAAAACCTAAATAAGCACTTTTTAAAAATCCAGGTTTTGTCATGTTTAGAGCAGACCTACTGAAATAAAACTCATTTCCATTGATTTCAGTGAGTTTGCTGTAAATATCACAAAAATCTAAATCAAACCCAAAGAGTGCACTGATAATTAAGCATTTTTTTAAACATCCTCTTCTATCCACAAGAAACAAAAGCACCTTCTAAAGCATGGACAAGTCCATAGCCACATTTGGCAACAGAAGAAACTGTTCTGGGCACAACCACATAATGGCTGTCAGAAGAGATATGGGTAGAAAGACAAGAGACATGCTCAAAGACTGGTGATAAAGCATAAGTCAAACTCAGGGACATGAGAAATGAAGATAGCAGCACGTGGCGTGCTTTGCTTTGAAACAATCCCAATTGCTAGTAAGCAATCTGCTACACGGACAACCTCATCATGGTAGAGGTCGAGCACTTTGGCAAACACCAAGAAGGTATCCAGGGACACACTAATGCCTGCAAATTCCAAATCATCTTCCCTGTACCCATTCTAAGCAAACAGATTCAAAGGCACATATTTATTGCAGATAATCCTTTACTGGTATTGTGTCAAGGCATCAAAATCAAACCAGTACCTTTTCTCAGAATAATATTATTTTATTAATAAAATGAAGAAATGAGCAAACAAACTGGTACAGTAGAATTGCTAACAGTAAACTACTTTCATATTTAATAACTGAAATGAAGTTAATAAAATGTAGAAGGAAATATATACTCCCTTATTGATCCAGAAAATCTGAGAAAGGTCACACAGAAGGAACCACAAGCACTGAAAATAGCTGGAACACTCAACTTGCTTTCAACTCTAGCAAGCCAAGCTAAAGTAACACCTTTACAGAGATCACCTGTCCATATATCTTCACAGGCATATAACAGTATTCCTATATATGAATCAAATATCTAAAAATTTGTACAGTAAGTTCTGCCTTACCTCTCTGTCAAGTCCAGCAGCAACTGTGATAATATCACCAGTTTCATTGTTGATTGTAAACATGTTTGGGGAAGGGGTGCTTGGGGCTTGTGACAAGATTCTATATCTTAGCATTCCATTCTGTACATTCGGGTCGTCAGCATCAATTGCAGTGACAGTCATTACATAGGTCCCTTATAAAAGAACAAATAATCCTCAGGGTTAAATAAACAGTTTGCTCAGATTACAGAAGGTCATTCAGAGGCTCCAAACTTGGCCTAAACATTTATTTCCTCTGACAAAACGTTTCACATTCCTTCTCTCTCTCAAACCACATGCTTTCCCCCACGATCCATGAATAATGAAGCATAGCAGAAGAAAAAAAATTTGGCTTTGTAAAATACACAAATTCATTTATTGTTCAAAACATTATCTTGGCAATCAGGCTTTTCAGCTCTACAGCATTCTAAAGATGTAAACTCTTACATTCATATAGCTATTGCCCTTAATAAATTGTGCAAAAGCAAGTGTTAATTTCCAAAGCTGGGTGCACAGATTTTGGAGAAAGATAATGCTTTTCAGTTTAGTATACAGGCCTGCACACATTATTATTATTAATTATATTTCTATACCACCCATAGCCAAAGCTCAGCTGAAGCTCTCTGGGTGGTTCACAACACTGAAGTCCCCCATCCAGATTCCAACCAGGCCTGACCCTGCTTAGCTTCCAAGATGAGGCATGATCAGACCCTTCAAGCTACATGGAAGCTACATAAAAGGCATTTCTGGTTACCAGGTAGCTGCTTTTACAAAGGAGACTTTTAAAGCAATGAGGGGTATGGTTTGTAATAGTGGTGCATTGTTTTCTGCAACCCCCTTGAAAGGCCATGTCAGTAGGCTGCAATGGGAAACTAAAAAAGAGAGGAATCTCCTATTACAGGCATGGAAACAAACTGCAGCATGCTCAAAATTGAGGAAGGCTGGATAGGAAATGAAACATGCCTGCCTGAAAATATGAACATAAACAACACAAATATCATAAATGACAGACCGAAACTTAAGGTCCTTCAAGACCATTAAAATCAGCATAACTCATTGGATCAGTATCTCTCATTTAATCCATCTCTTTCGGAAATAAAAAGGTACTCTACCCTTTTAAGTTTGTTTTACTTTCACCTAAGTAAAATGTACAGCAATGTAGCTTCCCACAAACATTGGCTAATCAGGAATTTACTATAAAAGTCCAAAATGTGTTTAGATGTATTTATGATTTCCATTCATTCTGGATTTACAAGTTTATTACTAATCAAAATTTTAATCCCTTGCTAATAAAACTGTATCGTGCATTTGAGCATATTTTTGGCCATGAAGCTTTAAGCAAGGGTGGAGACCTAATTTCAACTTCTCAATGCATGCTATCACTTTAGATCATTTGGCAAGAATCCCTTGCATGGAAAGGAAGTGGGAGGGAGAGAAAAGTAGTGACTCCCCACTTTTGGCTCTGGCCCCGCCCATCACTATCTCTGGCCCTTAAAATTTTATAGTGTGATTCATTATAACCATTTGGATGAAATTTTTAAAAAATATGTTTTGACCTTTTGACAAATAAAATGAATTACTGTTACAAACTGTTCAGTTATTTACCTGGCTTTGATCCTTCAGGGACTGTCCCATTCCAAACCTGGTGTAAGAACTCGGGTCTATTGTCATTCATATCAATGACATTAATAACAATGTCAATGGGATTTTCCACCTGGTTTCCATTTACATCCACAGCATGTGCCCTCAGCTGCAAAAGTCATTAGGAATTGAGAAAACTTGCAAAACATGTCATCAAGCACAGTAATTAGTGTTGCTGACAGGACTTTTTAAATGGAACTCCATTAAGTTGATTTATTTCAGCATCTTCTTTTGTTACCCTTTTGTGGGCATTTCAGAACAAGTGAAGACAGCTTTTAAAAGAATTCTGTACTAAACCACCAAATGAGGGAGCCCACCAAGAACTGAACCCCCCAGTGCTTAAAGAAAGCAGAACAAGCCATTAATGCAGAATAAACAAAATTGTGTTTATTCATAATATTTTAAAAATTTAGACAAAAACTGACTAGTGGAGTGCATGGCAAAAGTATATTGTGTGAAGAAAGTGAATGGAGCTAACTTTTCCCTTCCCTTTTTTATAATACTAGAAAGTCATGGGATACAATGAAACTCATTTGCAGGAGATATACATGGTGCATAATTAATTCTTGACATTTGCTGCCACAAGATATTGATGATGGCCACTAATTGGGGCAGGAGTAGACAAATTCATGGAAGATAGGTCTGTCCCTGGCTACTATTCATCATGCGTCTATTGAACCTCAAGGTTCATAGGCGGATGCCACTGATTGCCAGTTATTGTGGAACAAGAGCAGGGAAAGATTACTGACTTCATTCTTTGCCTGTGGTTGTTACAAATGAATCTTGTTGGTCACTGGGGGAAACAGGATGCTGTACCAGATGGTCCACAAGCAGGTGCATTTGCATATTCCTAAAACCTTAACATTAAAAAATAAGAGATTTTGTATTCACAAAATCTTGCTTTGCTCTGACTCCTCTCTGAATATGATGAATTAATGAATGAAGAATCAGCTTGTCCATGTATCTGTCATCATCTCCATTCCTGTACTGCAGGGATGGGCATCTTATGGCCCTTTACCCGTTTTGCCATTAACCCTAGTCAGGATGGCCAATGATGAAACATGATGAGAATTATACGCTGAAACATATGGAGGACCACAAGTCCCTAATCTTGTTCAACTGTATGTTATGATATTCATCAGGCCCCTTTATTTTAATTTGTAGCACTGTCGATGGTGGGTCTTTTTTTTTTTTTTTTTTTAGGAAAGGCAATTTTCACAATTTTATTTCCAGATAATTCTATTACTAATACAGTTATGCTAAATTCTTATTGTGATAGAATTATAACCAAACTGTGAAACCTGAACACACACAGAACCATGTTCTTGCTTTCTGTTATTTTTTGCCTAACCCATTAAACCAAACTTGCTCATTATGCCAGCAACTCTTGCTACTGTGCGGAAAAAGGAACAATAGGTGAAAATTAAAATCCAGTGCAAACACTTTAAATGCAATCGTTTAAAAAAAAACTGGATCAGAAATAACCTACCAAGTCAAAACATTTGTTAAGAACTTTGATTTTAAAATAAAGTTTAAATTTATTAAGAACTTACGTGAAAAGAAGCTATTTGTTCCCGATCTAATGGTTTTGTCACTGACAGCTGACCTGAGATGGGATTGATGATAAAAATGCCTGTTGGGGGCTGATCAGCCCCAGGCCCAGTAACGCTGTATCGCAGGGAAAGGCTTTTGTCACGATCTGATCTGATCTATGTACCAAGAAGATGACAGTTTGTTAAACAGGCAAGCAATCAGAAGTGCTAGCTGCTGAAAAGCATACAATCCCCCAACCTTGTTGATTCTAACCTAGTTAATTACACATTGCAAAAGCCAGTCCAAGCAAGGTTTTTTCCTTGTTCAACTGATCTGCACTTGGCCACTACTGTAGTGGAAAACCCGACTTCTTTGGTGAAACTGCAGACCCAACACAGACTTATCAAATGTCACCCTATTGGCTAGATTTGGTTTGACTGAACTAGAGATAGCTAGTCTGATTCTACATCCAACATTTAGCAGCCCAATAACATTACAGCAAAAGGCAGCCTCAGGCACATTTGGGGTAGCTTTAAACACTTGTGCTCTGTGATAAACAATGTAGCTGTACAACTAGGTACTGGTGAAGGAAAAAAGCTACATAGTATCACAGATACATTATGTTAGTATGCTATTGGAAACATGGTATCTAGTAGCAGGGTGACTGGATAGCTTCCCACATCAAACAAGGAAGCTGAATGTTCCATATACATGGTTCTTAAACATTACTTAACTCATATATTAACCAGTTAAGATGCAATTTCTCATGTGATGTTAGTATTCATCTAAGTGTATGGGTCTGTGAGCTATCTATGGCATTGCCATTAGGCCTGGACTGATGATCATTTACTTGTCTATACATGCACGACGGCTTTTCTGATTATGTGGAGGATGATAAGTCTAATCTTCCAACATCTAAAGCATGCAACACACTTCTCTGCAGAGTCCAGTCAGTAGAGCGGCCACCTACTGAAACCATCAGATTGCAAGTCTGCTCCTTTTCCTAGTTAGTCATTACATTCTCTGAACAGCCAGCCCCACTTCTCTCCAGGCTGGCCCCGTAATTTCCTAGGGGTATTGAGTCCCTGCAGTGTGTGGTATTAGAACAATCAAGTCATGTAGCACTGTCCCATGCACCACAGATCTTCTTACCACCCCTAATAACTACTGTGGTGCTAACACACGTAAGCACACTAGACAGGTGGTTTAACAACAGTGCTATAATTACTTATATTTTCCAGGTTTTTTTCCTAGTCTGTCTGAGATACTCTGAAGTCAAGAAAAAAAGCATTTCAGTACAGAGCAACAAACATTATGCACAAGTCTCACATTTCTGCCTAGTATAAAATAAGTTCAAAAAGGAATTAAGCACTGTATTTCCCAATTTGGCTCACTAACCCCATCTGTCAGCTTTTTAAATGATAAATCATTACATTTACCTCCACTCTCAGTACAGAAAAAAGTCTAAAAAAAACCTGAATGGGTTTTCAGTGCTGTGTTTCTTCAATTAAAAAAGGGGTTGGGGTTGGGGAAGTAATTTCACTGAGGAAATTGAAAAGCCTTTTCTTATCACATTTCTGGTATTTCTGAACATGATGTACCTGACTATTGTTAAAAAAAATAGTATCTTCACCCTTAACAGCTTTATTTTACACTCTGGCAATAAACAAGACATGTGTAAGGAAAATGTCATTTAAAATCACATATGTTAAAAATAAGTTTCTTCCTTGCTTACTTTCAGATCCAAGCAAATGCTTTTGTATTTCTCTGAGAATAATGCCTTAAGATACTGCAGCCACAGATGTGGTTGCAATATTATCAACTACTGCAGAGGAAACACAAAACTCTCAAAGTAAATCTTGGCTGACAAATAAAAATGAAAGCAATTATGCAGTATTTAGTGCCCACAGAATGCCATTTAATTCATGGTGAATGGTGCTGGAAGTGGGGATGCTGCATGGCAACTAAGCTTCAAAAAATATTAAGGAGAGCACAAATCTTTTAGACTGATGATGTCAGAAGTATGTGTTGCTTTGAAGAATACAGCTTCTCCTCTTTGTTCCTGAGGTCAACACTGGCATGAAAGCATCTGTATCACACTTGTGTCACACTCGGGAAAATATGTGCAGAAGGAAACCTGCCTATGTCCACAGCCAGAGGCTAGTGTACAGTTGACAATTTGTACCCTAAAGACCAAAAGAAGACACTTGCCAGGATTACTGGCTGCTTAATTGTCTGTTAAGAAACAACATAGATCCCCAAGCTTTCTTGGAGAGGCCTTAACAGGTAACTAAGACACAAGCCATGTCCATCACATTCTAGCAGAGACCTTAGTAAGTAACCAAGACCAAACTGGTTTTAGGAGGCTTCCTGAGAAAAGAGGATTATCTGGTGTGTGTATAGACTCTTGCTTTTGGGTAAGGGCACTGTACTGCCACAGAGCTCGTTTCACGTTGGTTGGCCCTTACTGATAGAACTATTCTTGTTTGGCTAAAACAGGCCCAATGGGTCACGGTTATCAGGACTGGTAGCACATAAGATTTGTTATAGACTGTAAACTATCTTGTACTTGTATTTTCAAGTTTTTCCCCATAGTCATGTAAGTAAATTTAATTTGATTTAGTCATGACTTGCAGACATTTTAGGCTCTTTGGCTACTCTCATTATTGCAAATATAAACTAAATGTGACAACAACCATTTTTGGTGATCTGTGGTAATGGTCTTTTGAAAATGTATTACATAACCATCTCTCACATTTTACTATTATTCTTTCATAAAATAATAATTTAAATATTAATTTAAAAATCTGGGCCCAGATCAATGAACTATACTTGAATGCATTAAGATACCTTTCATTATTTCTGCTTCTTTGATATTCCATTTCTATCTCTATTCACATACTTCCTGTGTTCCTCCTACTGTTATGAGGTGTAATTTTAATGGATTTGGGGGATGATCATCCCCAAAACATTTCCAAAGTTAATTTCGAACAACCTGACTTTCAAATTTTGCTCTGCAAGCAGAACAAGTAATTCGCCGTAAAATGTGTGTGGATGTGGAACACCAAATAAATGTTGGAAATAAAATATTAAAACTTTACAAATCTTTTAAAGTCTTTTTTTCACTGAACAGAACCATTTCCAAACAGAAACTCATTTTCCAGTCTTCTCATCTTACCCTAACTAATTCCTGAGGAAAAGGCCCTCTGGAGTTTTCCGGCAAGTTGATTGGAGGGATGACCCAGTCTCGCTTCTGCCTCTGTAAATGTCCACCGTACTTATTTTGCCATCTTGGAAATACAATGTCTTCCATTTGCTTTCGCTCCTTTCCATTATTGGAAATGAAAGTATGCATAAATTAGTGCTAATGTTGAACAAGATCAACACAAATGAAAAATTATCTACGCTCTTGAACACAACAGTTTAGAAGATGTTGTACAAAGCATTTCATACAACATTTAAAAAATTACATGAAATAATGCATTATATGCAACACATTTCTTTTCCTCCAAAATATTATCTACTTTATTTTCTGGTAAGATGTGTGTAGAAAGAAGATGGAGTTTTAAGCAATTTATAATACATCAGTGTTGTAAACTATTTTATACCCTTTATATTCCAGCTGGAGACTAGTTAATACTGTGCAAAATTTAATAGCATGCCTTTAGATATTTCTCATTAGTTGGAACTACAGTTCAGGTAATGTGCTACTGTACTTTAAATTTAGATCTGGGTGTGCTAAAATATAATTTGAGTTCCAAGGGAAGTTTAATACATAGTAGTAAGGAATGTCTCAAATATTTATGACCCTATTAAATCCCATAGAATTAATGTTGTAATTATTTTAAACCTATGTCAGCCATGATAGATGCTGTAGATGACCCACTTTGCACCGTGGGCATTAATCTTTGCAAAGAGTCAACAATTCTTCTCTGCATTCTGGCTTTTAGCTCTTGATGCCTGTGTGCATGAAATCATGTTAGCTCACTTATGCATATGGAGAAAACAAAGGAAACCAACATTCTTTGAACTTTCACAAACAATATTGCAGCTCTTCAGTTAAATGTTCTGTAGAAGAAAAAATGTGCATTTAACACCATGGAAACCAGATGTTTCCAGTCATTATGCATAAATAATCCTAACTATTTCACACAAAACAACTTAATTGGGCTAACAAAGAATATTAAAATTGTAACAGTAAATGGATTTTGGATGGAAGCAAACATGACTGAACTGACTTAGGCTTACTTTTGAGTAAACACGTTTAGGAGCTGGAAATAAAAAGAAGCTCCAGCAAGCATCTGTGTATATATGGTTATTCATACACAAGCCCAGCCTTCTGCTACTGCTGCTCTAAGGTTTTCTTGCTGTGATACTTTTGACAGTCTGTGAGGTAAACTGCAGTATAATGAACTTAGAGCAAAGTTGCTCAACTGGTGAACCACTAATTTATCAAGCACTTGATAGGCTGTCCTACATGCTAGTGGGAGAACAAAAGAGAGTCTAATTCAGCTTAGATGCCAGTCATTGCTCAGAAGCCATTTGCAAAGCATAGTTCATACCCTATGTCCAGCAAGATAACAGCTATGTCTTAGAACCTAGGAATATCTTTATATTCCAATTCCAATATCTCCTAGGATGTAGGGCTTGGAGAGGCTTTGCCAACGTCTTACAACCACCCACAGAATTGCAAAGTCCTCTGTCTGATACATATTTCTTCTGTGGCCTTTTCCTGTAAATGGGGCCCTGCAATAATGGAAGTAGACCTTACAAGTGCAGGGGCGAGGATTCAAGGGCACTTGAATGATGGGGTCAAAGTATACATTACAGTGATTATGTAGCACACAGCTGAGACTTTTCTTTCATTCTACTACATAGTAAATGGGTGCAGCTCAATTTCTGATTAGGAGCACTGCACACCTGAAGGAGAAGATAAGGCTTTTCTCTTCAACCACTGAGTTCCCTAAATAACCCTTGACCCTCATAAGGGTTTTTCCGTTTTTCTTTTGAAGTTTGCACTGGCACCAATGAAAGCTGTTATCCCATTCTGAATCTGTAGGAGTGGCTGGGTGAAGAGGTTTTGTCCTCACCTCCCAGAGCATAGTGGTTCCAATATGAACTGGGGCTTCACACACTGACTAGAGATTAAAAATAAAGACATTAATAAAAATTAAGATAACATGCGGCTTGACCTGCAGTTGTGCTGGTGAAAAGAAACAGTGTGCAGTGAGGCAAGGAACCTGTTCACCAAAGAGTACTAGCATTAAAGTTTTCTGTACTAGAATCTCCTAAGATCTGGAGCAGATTGTTAGCTATTTAAAATTAAAATCACATATTGCTTTATGTGACACAAGAATAGCAAGTTCTGCAGAATCAATAAAAAAATCACTTTTAACAGAATTGTCTTGAACATGACTGAAATGACTGTTCAGAATGGGAAAAGTATCTCAGATCTGCTGGCAGGAAGGCTAAACAACACCTCGGCAGATCAGCTGTCTTGAACCTGGAGCCATCCAGTTATGTGGACTGTTAATTCTTAGCCAGTACTGGGATAAAATGATTAGTGCATCCAGGGGAGGACTAGGTTGGGGCAGGCTGATCTTCATCTTGGATTACAGCAATTTCCACAAGAGGGAGACTCTCCTCATGAATAACTGACAAACACACAAAGGACTGAACAGGAAACCAAAGCCAGTAATCCCCAGTAGAAATACTTTCCCATTTCAGTTGTAAATCTGCAGTTCTAGCATAATCAACTTGATTGATGGGTCCAAGAAATGTTTATTTTGTGGTTATATTTAACTGCTTAAGTAAATACTATAATGCTTTCAAAGTGTTTAAAGTACAGGAATTGCCACTTTTAATTTATATTTGGATACGAATGTGAAAAAATGGCAGAACCCTATATAAACACAAACCTCAAATGTAAATAACTTGGGTATTTTAACAAACTATGCTTGTATAGATTGATGAAAAAATAGATTCAGGAATGTTATTTTTCAGCTTAACCATTATTTATGCATTTTGTTACCCACAAACTTAAAAGTGTATCTGGATAAAACCTGTTTTCCCAAACCTTTAAAGACGTATTAGTATGCTTTACCATCACTGAATCTTCTGGCTCCAGAGCTAGTTTCACTGCCACTTGCCACTGTTCCTCAGTTTCTTTATCATTAGCATACAGTAGGAATTCTGCAGGTCCTGGAGAAAGCTGAAAGCTTCTAGCTGCATACACTACACCATCTTCACCCACTCTAAAATCTGCTGGTGCACTGCTTTCAAAGTGGACTTTTCTGCTTCCTTCACAGCTTTTAAATCTTACTGTAAATACACAGAACACAACATCAGAGATCAAAAGGTACGTAGATTATTTGCTACAATTAGGTCAAAAATTATTGCTCGTTCCTATTAAAAGATTCTTTGAGAATTAACAACTTCCAACCTTCCACCATCACAAGGTGTACATATTGTCACTCAGTTACTGATAAAATAAACAAGACACTAATAATTAAAGCATCCCTTTCCCATTAAGACATGATTCATGAGCCTCACCCTACTACAGGGGGTTCCTATGCAAGTCCTATTGAATTAATAGGAGCTGTAGTCACCTCCCACCACCACCTGTTTATCATTTCCAAACTCTACTTCTTCCTTTCTGCCTTTCTTGGTTTGGAACATGAGATACTAGAGGACCAGTTTGGTCTTGTGAAGCTAAGAAGCTTTGCATGCCTCACCCACAAACAATCCCCTGCTTTCCTACCAATCCTGGGTTGGTAGAGATGTCTAGAAACATGCCTGGATGATCCCTGCCCACATCTGCAGCTTCGTGTTGGGAAGACTGCCTGCTAGTCCAAACTTGCTGTGTGCTGAGTAGTGGGAAATTATGCAAGACTATATTTTTCATTCATTTCAACAGTTGAAATAAAACAGTTTCTGCTGAGTTGGGTCCTTCATATAACTGATGCTGAACATTTCTCCTTAATTAATGAAAATCAAACTTAGTCCCTTGTGTGGGTGTTTGATCCTACGCAACTTCAGGATAGCCATCAATCTAGAATTTCAATCATCTCCACATATACTTTCACATTACACAGGAGTAGTCTTTCAGGCATCCAGTGAACAACTCATAACATATGGGCAAAGAATAAAAAATAATTCAGTTAGAGTGGTCCTGAAGAGAGCACTTTCAATGTTCATGTGACTGAGCAAGCAGTTTGAAGAAAGATTCCTCCTTACCAAACATGTGGGGTTCAATAGAAAATTAAAACCCACAAATTCAGTTCAAATGTATTCTGTGCATCATTTGAGTGCCATATTCATAGCTGTGGGTTTTTTCTCCATATTTTCTTGAGAACCTCTACTTGTATAACAGTTTTGTGTCTTAACAAAATGCAAATTATTACAACAGGCCGCAAGAATCAAGAAGAGACATTACTCATCTATTGGAAAAAAACATACATAAACACAGGACTTACTCTTACTTATAGAGAACCACAACATTTAATATGGTTTTCTTTTCCTCTGCTTCCCATAATCTATACAAGAAGCAGCTCCTTAGGATAATCCAGGGATCTCATAAGGTCCATTTGAACAATCCATGTTTGTATTATTCCAATTAAAAATAAGGAACTTAACAGGTGCTTACCTGACATGCATTACCAAGACCTGGATTGGGAGAAAAGTACAGAGTTTCTTTGTCCAAGCTGTGCCCACCAGGGTACTTGGTTCTGCACTACCATTGCTCAGAGAACTGAGGGAGAGGGTGGCAGCAATAGTCTATAAGGATTTTATCTACCTCTCTAGGGTTCCTGTCTCCTAGGGGGAGTGTTTGTACTGTGTGTTGGGAACCTGGGACAGATTAGGAATTCTGTTGATATACCATCCACCCTGCTGCTTACCAACTGTCTCCCTGCCTAAGCTGATGGAGGTAGTCTTGGATTTGGTATTGAGGACCCCCAGAATGTTGGTGCCGGGGGACTTCAACTTCTATGATGAGACTGCCTTATTCAGGGCAGCTTAGGACTTTATAGCTTCCATGACAACCATGGGGCTGTCTCAGCATGTCATCAGTTTGATGCACAAGAAAGGTCACACTCTAGATCTGTTTTTTTTTTTTTTTGATGGGACTGGGAGATGGTTGTTCTGATGTGCGGGGGATAACATTAACTCTGTTGTCATGCCTGGACCACTTCCTGGTGAAGTTTAGGCTACAGGTCTCCTTTTCCTTCTGCAAGAGTGGGGATTGATCAGGATGATCCACCTCAGAAACTGATGGATCCAGATGGATTCCAGAGGGCTCTGAGGGATTATCCAGCTGATATGTTGTAGAAGCTCATGTCACCCTGGAGAGCAGGGAAATGACTTGGGTGGTTGAGAGGATTGCGCTTAAGCTTAGTCTCCACTCTGGCAGAGCCTGGTCAACTCCTTGGTATACACCAGAGTCCAAGGCAATGAATCAGGAGTGGAGACAGCTAGAGTGCAAGGGGAGGAAATATTCCAACAAGTTGAACAGAACATGGCTTAGAACTCATTATCAAGCCTATTCCATGGCAATAAAGCTGGCAAAACACCAGTAGTTTGACACCTGTATTGGTTCCTCACAGTGACATCTAGTCAAGCTGTTTTGGGCTCTGAGGCCTCCTAAAATCTGTTCACCAGAGGAGACCTCAGAGCCCTCAGTGGCTGGCTGTGACAACTTTACTTTGCAGTTTGTGAGAAAAATTACTCAGAGAAATTCACCAGGTGCCAACATTGCTTTCTTTTCAGTGCCAGGCTAAAACATTTCTCTTCAGGTATTTTGATAACTGATTTTGAATTGCTTCTAATATGTTGTATATGGTTGTCCCATCACTTGATACCATTTTGAATTTCCATTGTTAAGGTTGTTGTTTTATATGCAATTGGTTTTATTATTTTAATATTTGTAATTAATTAAATTAAATTATATATAACAAGTAATTTTTGATTACTTGTTGCAAGCCACATAGAGATTCCATTGGAACAGTTTGGTGGCATACAAATATTTATTTATTTATTAAAACATTTTTATGCCGCCCCATTTGCCGAAGCCTCGGGGCGGCTTACAACAATAAAATATAAAAGTAAATATATAAATAAAATGTTTCATTGTTTCTGTTTCTATCTTTCAATATAGTTGAATAACTAAAAAGGAAAGCTAGTGCTTTCCTCATTGATATTTTTCCTTCACACAAATTGAATGCTATGAAATTCAGTGAAAATGGCTCTCTTTTGACAGTCCCTTGCTGAAAATGTATAAAATTTGTCAGTGCCCTGATAGAATTATTCTCTTCTGCAAAGAGTACATATTAACAAATTATGCTGATATATATAGCCAGTCATAATTAAATTACATTTTGTGCTGTAGGTAGTTTTTACTTCCCTGAAAGGCTTTAGCTTTGTAAATATGATTTTGATCAGTTAGTGTAATGTGTTTCAGCATTCTGTAAGGAAGAATAATTATCATTTTTCAATTAGTATTATTGGTCAGACTTCGTAGAAACATTAAGGAAACATTTTTCTTCTACAGAAAGTTATTAATACTAATGTTTCCTAAACTAATTGAAAAGGATGGGTATGTTATTCACAGCACTGTAACATCTAATATTTATTTTAAAATATATTGTGCTTCATGTGCAATCTGCAAAGAGCTGAAAAACACTGCTACACTTGGATCACCAAAGCATAAAAACCACCAAAGCATAAAAACCACCAGTGTGTTCTTACTTATCTTACAAATAGTATACAAATAAATTATTAAATATATATTAATAAAGTCTGAACATAAGATTTTTTTAAAGAATAAACTGTCTTCTATCATTACTTCACTTTAGATCTTGTAACACCTCCTGTCTAGACGTAATACTTCAGAGCATTGCCATTCATTCTGGTAATTGCATTCTAGAGACAGCACATTTCAAGTATTCAAAGAGTTTCACCTCCATTCTGTTGGTAATAATTACAACAGTTCTGTAAAGCATTACAGGACGTAGGCTTATTCACTGCCACAGAGAATACTGCCCGAATTAGCTGTTGAGGTGAAATCTAAGAAATCCCTTTGCCTCTGGCCTATCCCTATTAGACCTTTGAACATATATGCCTGGATTTAAGAAACACTGGAAAAAGTGGAGCACAAAGACCAAAAAAATAAAATAAAGCCCAATTATTCAGAATTGAAGCACTTCAGATGGGGACCTGTAACAAAATGATGCTGTATATTCCTAACACCTATAAAGATTTCTTATGTTCAGTTTAGAACTTATGGAGGATACTTTCCTATTTCCCACTGATGCATACTAAAAGATCTGGGATCAGGAATTGCTCCCAACCCCAAACACATGTGTTGAGGACAGGGAATATACCATGAGAGGAACTTTTTTTTAATACCATGGTACATGCCTCCCTAAGCTCAGTGTTTACATCCAGAATATTAGGACTTGTTCAAGCAAGTCAAAACCTTCCTCTTCCTCTATTTAATCCATTTTGAAGTTCACAGTTCAACTGTGTTCTACTATAGATTTGATTTTTAGCTTCACACAGGTGTACTGAAAGGGGTTGAGGTAAATGTATAAGGAGGAGGAATGTGTTAAGCATGATTCCTCTTTGTGCATTTCCACTGCCTTTCACTTGTGGAAGGCAAATTTCTGAAGAGGAAAGTCTCCTGTAACCATAAACCAGGGTTCTCCTCTGAGGTTCTCTCCTTTGGCAAGTGTAGAGTGATGTAAATAGGTACAGAAAGGACAGAATTAGTGTTCTACCTTTCACATGTTTACTACAAATACTATATCCACCTTATGTCTAGATCTTTCAGGGGTCTTGTTGCATTCTAACCTGTGATAAAACAGTGGGCTGTGCATCACAGCTGTTGTGCCCCATGGCAATCTGAAAAGCAGGTCTATATAGGCAATGACATACCATTTTGAAAAATGCTTACAAACTAATTTTTCTAGATTGTTTGTGTGGGTTACAATCTGCTGTGTATGCTGCGCATCTAGTTAAAGTCACCCACAGAACTGTACTGGGCATCGCACATGAAAACACATGAGCCATATGAATGAGGACAAAAGGCAATAATACCTCCCTCTTGTTCTTCTGTGCCCCCATCCTGGTTCCAAACCTGTTTGCACTCACTGCTACCTGATTTTACTGAACACCTCAATTCAAGAGCCCTTGGTCATGGGGCTGGCTGCTTATTTTCTATTTGTTTGGCAAGTTGGATTCTGGTGGAATACATTCTGGTGGAATACCCATCTCTGGCTATTCTATTCTAGGGAGCCTATTCCATCTCTGGCATACCTCTTTAG